TTCAATCTGCATTGTTCACTCAGATATGACGAACTTTTGCCAAACATCGGTAATGTGCACCTCGCGATTATCGTTTGATGTTATACTAATATAATGACTTGATACTATTATCAGCAACCGTGTGACATCCCTCAATCGACACGCACAAAATTAAAACTACATTTCAAGTCCATAGCCTTTATATTCAAATTCAATGCGTTCTCATCGAAGTGTCTTTGATAGGTATGCAATATGGAGAACATCGATCCCCTCGGCATTCATACCGGTGACTCGATCGTCATTGCGCCGAGTCAGACGCTGAGCAATTACGAGTACAATATGCTGAGGGAAGCGTCTATCAGAATTGTTCGACATCTCTGTATCGTCGGTGAATGTAACGTCCAGTTCGCTTTGGACCCGAACAGCTCAAAGGTGCGATCTTAAGCTCATCTACTTATCTTATTGTTAAATTTTTTAGTACTACGTGATAGAAGTGAACGCCCGGCTGTCACGCAGTTCAGCACTCGCCAGCAAAGCCACAGGCTATCCTCTTGCATACGTAGCCACTAAACTTGCCTTAGGCACGCCGCTTACCGGTCTCAAAAATACGATCACCAACAAGACGACTGCATGTTTTGAACCTTCTTTGGACTACTGCGTTATAAAGGTTCCGCGATGGGACTTGAGCAAATTTGCCAGGGTTTCGACCAAGGTTAGGCTTTGGCATGTTACCGCCTGTCGAATTATGCCCGATGATTAAACGAATTTTTCCGCTTTAGATCGGAACCGGTATGAAGTCGGTCGGTGAGGTAATGGGTATCGGTCGTTGCTTCGAAGAGGCATTCCAAAAAGCATTACGAATGGTCGACGAGAACGTAGTCGGTTTTGATCCCCTGTATCTGAAACTGAATGACGATGTACGTGAATTGCGTGTTTACCAAATCGAGCTGAACCTAGCTAATTTGCTAAATAAATCAGCCGTAATGTTTAGGATTTGGTCGAACCTACGGATAAGCGGATATTCGTCCTCGCAGCTGCTTTGTATAAAGGATATTCGACGGAGAGATTGGCTGCGATGACAAAAATTGACGCCTGGTTTTTGAACCGCATGCAGACAATCATTAAAATGCAGCAGTATTTGGAAAATCATACGGTAAAAGTTGCTGTTGATTGATTCCCTGTTCCAATTGTCATCACACTGTAGAGATTTCAGATGGCAACACTTTGTGCCCAGGATGTGCTGAACGCGAAGCAGCTCGGATTTAGCGATAAGCAAATCGCTAACTTTGTCAAAAGGTGAACTGTCAGTTGTCTGACGATTAACGTTTAAACGTTGGCGTTCATGTTTAGCACTGAAATCAACATACGGAAAATGCGCCAAATGAGTGGAATCACGCCATTTGTTAAGCAAATCGACACACTGGCCGCCGAATGGCCGGCTCAAACAAACTACCTCTATTTCACATACAACGGATGCGAGCACGACGTCGACTTTCCTCCCGACTTCATCATTGTTCTTGGCTCTGGTGTCTACCGCATCGGAAGCAGCGTCGAATTCGACTGTTGTGCGGTCGGCTGCGTTCAAGAATTGAGAAGGGTACGCAACGACCTAATGTTTTGTTCTTTAGCTTATGTCGCGACGCGTCATCGGCCGTGTTTTTTCAGTTGAGTCACAATACAATGCTGATCAATTGCAACCCAGAGACTGTTAGCACCGACTACGACGTATGCGATCGACTGCTGTTTGAGGAGATTTCATTTGAGGTTAGTCAGCGTTCACCTTTAGTTGCTTTGACTCGTTTTTTGACTTTTTGCTTTCAGACCGTAATGGATGCGTACGAGTTACATAAACCTTGCTCATTAGTGCTGTGCATGGGTGGACAGTTATCGAATAACATTGCTATGAATCTCTATCACCAAAATGTAAGTCAGTCTTTATCGTCGTTATTGTTTGTTGTGGTGATAATCTTTTAACAATCATGGTGATCACTGGTGTGATCATAGAAAAATTGGCTGCAATTGAACTAATTTGATTCTTTCAGTGGTCATAAGTTTGTGCAACAGAGCCTAATTTGCCATGATTCATTTTTCAGGTACGGATCACAGAGTATCTGACTTATTCACAGGAATAGCATAAGGTTAGCATCGGTAAACGATATGGATTCAAAAATATCATCCTATTGAGTAGAAGAGGAAGCGGACCTCATAACTTGACTGCTTCTGCATGTAACACAGCTGGGAAAGCCGATCTCTTCCTTAACGTCCAGAAGTAAAACGTTATGAAGAACGCATCCAGTATAACAGATCTGCAAGTGGAATTAGGAGATGAAACTATAAAGGTGGTTGACCCGTATAAGTATCTTGATTTTATTATCTACTGCGATGGTGCAGTCCAAATAAAGTTAAACTTTGCGGTCGTGTTTGCTTTCACTACTTTTGGGAAGCTTCCATCTTCCATGGCGGCTTCTCCTTGCGGAGGCAAATTCCGCCGTTGCAGGGCCCAAGCCCGAATGAAAAAGAAGGAGGGTTGGAGACCGTGGAAAAGTCTCCGCAAAACTTAGCCACCTGCCCCTGATGGTATTGCGGTCATCGAATTTATGGTAATCTGTCCAATATTTGGAATATTTCTTCGTCATGGCCGCTTCTCCTTTCGAGTCGCGGAGGCGGACCCGGCAGACAGCGTTTTCAACGTTCCCGATCTTGTGCCAGAGTCTGTGCTTCGGCAGAAGACAACTGGAGTCTGGAACTGACTCCTTCCATATATTTGCACCAGGTTAATCTTTGTGTCTCCTGAGTCTTTTACTGGTCGGTTTGGCAAGAAACAGTTGCTTAGCCTTCCTTTCTGGAGGCATTCGCAACACATACCCAAACCATCGCAGCTGTGACTTTTCAGTCTGAAGAAGTAGAGGCTGTACACCGAGGCTCTCCCGGATTTCTTTATTCCGGACCATGTCGAGACGCTTAAGTTTAGCGACTCGCCTCAGGAAGCCCAATAAAGCAGCTTGTACCCGGGTTCGAAGCTTCTCAGTCATGGTCCTCAACTTCTGATGGTAAGTAAGCATGGGGATAAAGATCGTCTTGAATACCGAGAGCTTAGTTTTCAGACAGAGC